GCTCTCTCTCTCTCTCTCTCTCTCTCTCTCTCTCTCTCTCTCTCTCATATATATATATATATTTAAAGAAGGTGTCAGATCCCCTGGAATTGGAGTTACAGACAGTTGTGAACTGCTATGTGGGTGCTGGGAATTGAACCCAGAACCTCTGGAAGACCAGCCAGTGCTCTTAACCACTGAACCGTCTCTCCATCCCCCTGCCTGGCTCTCTTACACAACTCAGGACCACTTGGCTGGGAATGGCACCACCCACAGTGGGCTGGGCCCTCCCACATCCATCATCAATCAAGGAAATGTCCCACAGACAAATCCCCTGGCCAGTCTAATGGAGGCGGTTCCTAAATTGAGGTTCCTTATTTCCAAGTGACTCTAGCTTGTGCCAAGTAGACAAAAGCCAACCATTATAAGCAGGAAGCCAGTAATTTTTAAAATGGAACATAATAAGCATTGAGGAGCATGTGGAAAAACTATAACCTTCATACGTTGCTGGTGGAAATACACCATGGTTCAGCTACTGTCAAAAATGATTCAGTAGTCCCTCAGAAAGTTAAACACAGATTTATCATATGATGTGGTCACGCCACTCCTGCTCCTCCATGCCTTCCCTACCATGATAGAGTGCATCTCCTCAGACTGTAACCCCTGTAACGTCTTCCTCCCTTAAGTCGCTTCCTGGGAGGCATCTGGTCACAGCCATGAGAAAGGCAGCTCGTACCTGTGGTAAGCTCACAGAAAGGAACACCGTTCAGCCCTCAGTGGGTACATTCACAGAATAAGAACAAGAGGTTTCCACAGGTTCAGAGGAAGCAAGAATGAGGAGCTGGTTGGTTTTGTTTTTAGACTTGGTATTTAAGGATTTCCTGTTTAGGATTATGAAAGAATTCTAGAAAGTGCATGGTAGTCACTGTTGTAGCACACTATGGACATACTTAACACCACTGAGCTGCATGCTTAAATCGTAATGTAATAAATATTTTGCCACAATTTTGTTTGTTCCTTTGTTTTTGTTGTTGTTTGTCTGAGATAGGGTTTCTCTGTGTAGTCCTGACTGTCTTGGAACTCTCTCTGTAGACCAGGCTGGCCTCAAACTCAGAGATCTGCCTGCCTCTGCCTCGGGAGTGCTGGGATTGAAGGCGTGTGCCACCACATCAGGCTCCATCTGCACCCTTGCTCTCTCAGTTCATTTCTGCTCTCTTGATGACTCATAAAGTTCCAACCAACTATGTCCTACCAGTTATAATTCTCCAAGCTGAAATAAGAATGAGACAGACTTATTTCCAAAGAGGTAGGTCCAATGGTTATTGCCCAACAGTCTAGAGAGCCATATCATGGTTGTCTGTAGCTCTCAAAAAAAAATAATATTGGCAATTATGTATTTAAAAAAAATAATGTCGGAGCTCCTAACAACTGGTCAAAGTGCTGAGAATAAGTGACTGTTACATGCTCAGCTCTAAATGGAACATCTGTATGACCTTTTGAAGGCTTAGAGAAGAGGAAGTAGACTGTGACAGCCGAGAAAGTGATGGGTGCTTTGACCCACGGTCACCCTTCTTCATGTAATATGCTCCTTAGCTCTTGGTCAAGTCCATACAAAGTTCCAGAGAGATGGTTCAGAGGTTTAGAGCAGGTCTGCTCCCCTGTAGTTGAATTTTCCAGTGTGCATCTCAGGAGGCTCACAACTACCTGAAACTCCATCTCCAGGGCCCAGATGCCTTGACCTCTGTGAGCACGCGCGCACATACACACACACACACACACACACACACACACACACACACACACATACGGACACACACACACACATGGACACACACGGACACAAGGACACATGGACACACACACATGGACACGGATACGGACACAGATACACGTGCACAACTACCCACAATTTAAAAATAAGATAGATCTTCTTGAAAAGAAAGTAATAATAATAATGTTTAGGAGGTGAAGGCAGGGCCAACCTGTGATAAAGTCTGGAGGGAGAGAACTCCTTTCTGGAGTTCCACCTGTCTATGACCTGCCTATTATCTTCAAACCCAAGGCAAACTCCTCAAGAAGTTCTAGACAGGAGACCCAGCTCATCTCTTAGAATAAGAAGGGCACATCCCGAGCAATCTCAGTCTAAAGACAGAGACTGTGATGCCCCAGGATTCCAAACTGATCAGCCCTGGCCATCTCAAACTGGAAAATGGAGACAGAGCTCCACATTGAGGAGGAAATCCCCCTGCTCAGAGACAGGCCACTAAGGAGAAGAAGCCCAGCCTTTGGGGTGCTAGGAGCAGTGGCCTTGTTCTGGGACTCCTTGTCGAGAGACATGACTCCAGTCTGAAGGGGCATAGACTTCCCTCCAGAGCCTTCAGTCCAGTGGAAGACTCCCTGGTCATGGTAGTTAATCTTTTTAGAATATATATTAGTTATACCTGACAACAGGTTTTAATCACGACTTTGTCATAGGTGTGTTTTATGTGTTTGAGCACACTCACCCCTGTTACCCTTTCCTGTCACCCTCCACTCCGACTGACTCCCTTCCTCTTCCCCGCCAGTCTTCCTTCTGATTTCATTGGTTTTTGTTTTGTTCTCTGTCTATCTCTTCTGTCTCTGTCTCTGTCTGTCTGTCTGTCTGTCTGTCTCTCTCTCTCTCTCTGCCCTAATGAGTTTGACGAGGGTTTCTTACTAGAGCACGGGTGAGGGGTTGTTTACAGAAGTCTGGAAAACTCACAAGTGGCTACAGCCCTGGAGAAAATATCTCTGCCTCCCCCGGGAGCCATTACCTGTCAATATCAGAAAAGGCCGGGGGCCTCGTGATCTCCTCTCCCGTGTGTGACTGAACATTGACTGGCCTGGTCTTGTTGGGTAATCACTGCTGCTCTGAGGTCATGGGTTCAACGGCCAAGTCGTGCCTGGAAAACATTTCACAGCTCCCTATCACTTCCTCCGCTCTCACAGACCTGCCTTCTCTTCTCCCAGCCTTCAAAGGGCCGACGGGGATGTATCAACGTGCACGTATTCAACCTTACAGCAAATGATACACGTATTCAACCTTACAGCAAATGATACATTTGCTGATATTCTTAGCTCTCTGACCAGTTAGAAGTCTCTGCAGGGA